CGATTGTTGTTATCGTCGTTTAAAATATCGGCTAAAGTAGTCATAATTTCTATTCTACTTAAACATGACTTTCGATTCGGTTTCTTCCAATGATGCTTTTAAAAAAATATTGATGATGATATTGATGAATACGATGAATTTTGCGAAGAAGAGAATGAAAATTTAAATAATATAATGTATAGCGATACCGAAGAGTTGATAAATAATACTACAACGAGTGTGGATTCTATTGAAAATGATGAAGAAAATGACAATAGTGATGATGATGGTGATTATAATAAAAACAAAGATGATTCCGATGTCTATCGCATCGATAGACAAAAGAGACGAATTAAATCGAAAAAGAATAAATATAAAGGAAATCATATAGTTAAAAAGCAGATTTCTTTGAAAAACACAAATAAACTATCGTCAAAAAATTACATGAAATCTCTGTACGACGGAGTGCATTTTATATACCGTACAGTAAAGAAACCTTTAATTTTGGCGACAAACATCACTACACTAGCCCTACTGACAACCGAACTCGTATGCCCCGACGCAATAGTCACAATATATCATAATTTATTTAAAAATGTATAAACACACGTGTCTTATTTTTTTTCACAAGTAATATAGCATTCTTTTGAATATCATCATCATCAACATCCGTGTCGGATAAGCGAGAGTGTTTTGTAAAAAATGTACGAAGATCACGTTGTCGGTATAGACGTCTTGTGTGGTGTTGGCGGTGGTGTCCCGTACGAATATAAAATACGAAAACACAAACCGCAACATATAATCGTAAATCATGAAAGCAACGTCGAAGCCGACAACAATCGGAGCAGAGTTAGGCTTTTTACGGAGGACGAAACCCAACAAAACTCGGCGAGACGAGACGACGATTCGGAATTGAATCGCGTACGAGAAGAATTGGCATTTCATAAGCGATATTACGAAGCGTTGAAAACCACTATAGCCGTTAATCAACATAAATCAATAAAAAGATCTATCGATAGTTATGAAAACAAAAACGAAATCATTTCTATGGATTTTATAGAAAATGAATAAAACAAAGAAAATCATTACTACGAACACAGTCATTCCGATGTTAAAAAAGCCCCGTCCGACGAATCTCTAACTGTTAATAAATAATAATGCTATAGAACATATTGTATACGATTTGGATAACGTCGCAAAAGAAGAACAAAAACGCGGTAAATTCTTCGTCGCCGATTGCTTGTTTTGGATAAGTTCGGTGATGAAAATGATGAAATTTATCGGTCCAGTATTATCGGTGATTTTATTAATCATAACGAGTAAAGAAATAATGAAAAAACTAATTTTTCCTACAGACAATTTGTACGTGTTGACTAATTCGAATTACAGATCCGAAAGATCATACTTTGAAGACGTAACAATCCCAACGATACCCGTTTTAGTAGCTAATCAAAATTGGCCGGATCCCAGTGTGAGTTTTAAAAAAACCAAATTTACACCACCAACGGCCATCTCAATCGAGTACTAATAATAGCATCATCAGTAGCAGCACCACCAGCACAACTGATGGTGGTGTTGAACCTACCGAAAAACTAAATAATAATACAAAATCTCATATTACAACTACTACTACTCCTCCTCCACCACCACCACCACCCATTTCACACACAACACAAACTGATGATCATAAGACGACTGCCACTACTATTACAACCACTAAAACGTCAACGACAGAGACGCCTACAACGATTAGTAGTAGTAGTATTAGCAACAGCACCACCACCAGTAACAAACCTACAACTACAAACACCACCGAATCGACAATTACCAGTACAGAAAATATTAAAACATCAACTTAAAGTATTATAGAGACTACGACTACTAATAAGAATCCATTATATTAATGGGAAAGGATCAAAAAAAAAACTATTTTATTTTAACATTTTTATTATTTTATTTTAAACTATTCATATCATAAAATGGATAACATTCATTGTTCGTCTTCAATATAGATCCGCTTATTTCTATATTCGTGCTTCTTGCTCCGAGATCCATCGGTAGATTTACGCATTGACTCGATCGTATTCCCTGATTATTATATATGGCATTTACTTTTTTCAATCTGTTCAACGATGTTTTCGGACGTTCTCCAGTGAATGCTATAAGTGGGTTTTGGACGTGCGGCGATATGTTTGTTAGGTTTTTGGTAGTGAGAAATAAAACAGACTCTACTATCAATTCGAAGCAAATTCTAAGTTTCTCAAATGTATCCGGATCGAATGCATACTGTTTGTAAAAATTGCAATATTTGAATTTTATAAAATTTGAAATGAATAGCAACGGGCTGTAATTGAAATATTTTAATTCTGACAAGAAAATGAGACTGTATTGATCGGGGAATGCATCGTAGTACCGCAATAAAACCGTAGTTTTCAGATAATCACTAAATGTGCTTGTTTTTTGCATGTTGAAACGACCGACTGCCGTTTTATGCACGTAAGATTCGTAAATATTATTTGTTATTTTAAAAACAAATATCGGATTGTATACTATTAGTAAAAACTTAACATCTTTGTTCTTTTCGAATTGTAAATTTTCAAGATCGACTAGGGTTTCCATACTATAAAATTTACCATCTTCATTACGCTCGTAAGTGTAAGTGTTAAAATTATTCAAAGCACCAAACACCACGTCTTCGCGAATATTGCCTACATGATATTTGTACATATCATCGGGTTTTATTTCATAATTTTTGTCTATCATGGCAATTTTATAAGCTTTGGCGTTTTCCGGAAATTTTATAACTATATTGTTCAATATACGATATTCTACAATGTAAAAATTTCGAACACTATCGGACTCGCGATTTGATTCTTGTAGTCCCACTACGGCCTCGTCGTCGTCTCGATGATTGTACCTGTTGAAAAATTAAATCATTAATATTATTATTCAATATATATTTAAATATTTTTTTTAAAAACAAAATTTACCATCTTAACCAAATGTACTCTGGATCGGAGTGTAGTATATTTGATTTTATAGTCGGTGTTATCGGTTTAAATTTATGTTCATCGATATTGTTGGTTTCTGTATTATTTTCAATTGCAAATTGTTTTACGTTTAACGATTCTTGCATGTTGCCGGCCGTGCGAGACGACACCAGATTAGTGCCCAAAGCTCGCGGTTCGATGGATAAAATATCGCTCTCGGTGTTCGTCAATTTTCTCACTAGTTTCTTAAAGCCATCATCGCCAATACCGTTGATCGTATTTATGCAATCTTCCAATGTCATTTTTTTACAAAACAACATGAAATAAGCTATGCTACGAGAATATACACACAAAGTAGGATCGTTTAGTTTAAACGTCAAACAAGATTCTAGGTATTCTATATCTCGATCCATTCTTGATTTCGTAAGAAACGGCACTGACTTGTCCGAAATGCACTTTCAAGTCTATATCACCGACGCAAACGAATCGCGGATCCTCTTCGCAGGCGCTCAACACGGTCGACGCGTCCTTTTCAAGATGTTTATAGAAACTCGTTAAAAGCGTCAGGTTCAACGGTGCAAATTTCGAATGTAATACAAAATCCGGTACCACGAAATACGAACGACCACTACTGTTGTTGTTATTTGAAAACGTTTCTAGAGATTGATGCTGTTGCTGCTGCTTCTCTCGATGTTGCATGGTCGCGATTCGATTGCTTACTGGGTATTAAAAAAAACGTATTATATTTATATACAAACGCACGAGCTATTTGTTTTATATTCAAAGAATGTTTAATAATTGTTGAAAATTATCATCATCATCATCATCGTCGTCGTCGTCATTGTCGTCGTTGTCATCGTTTTTGATATTTTTCATTAAAACGTCTATATTCATTTTAGATTTCATCTTTAGATCCGACAGTTTATACGCTTTTTTAACAACATCGCCACCATTGTGGTCGTCGTCGTTGTCTTTGTTAGCGATGTCGTCGTCGTCGTCTTCTTGTGTTATTAACGGGAATTCCGGAGTATTGTCGTATAACATTTTACTCGTAACATAATCGTGAGAATCCAATTGCGATACCGAATCGGACGGACTGAGGCTGAATTCGGATTGATTTTCATACTCGTATCGTCATCATCGGTGTGTACTAGTTGCGGTCATTATCAAAAATTACATACTAGTTGCGGTCCCCCCTCAAAAAGGTTACATACTAGTTGCGGTCGACCACCAAAAAGGTTACATACTAGTTGCGGTCACTCAAATAATAATAACTATGAAATTAATATTTGGTTTACTTATTTAATTTAGAAAAATGTATTAATCAACATTTTCCTTCCCATTTATATCGAAAAGATAACAGACTTAGGACTGTCTACACTATTATTTATTGTGTAGGTATGGTTAAAAATGTTGATATTTATGTTTAAATTACGTGGTTAAACTTGTGTCAAAGTATAATATAATATAATATGTACAATACTGTCAAATAATAATTATTATATAAATTGTGTTAAAATATAGTATTTATAAATTTTAAAATTTTGTAGGTATAAATTTAAAGGAAATCGACTTTAGATATTCAAGCCGATTTATTTCGCCTTCTTCGTAATACTGTATTTGTTGCGCTAAAAAATGCTCTTTTTCTATTGAAATTTTATTAACACGACTGGTTTTTGTACAATTCATTTTTAAATAGCCATTCGTTTGAATTTCATTTAAAGCGTCAATAAATATAAAAATATTAGGGTGAGAGTGGTAAAACATGCTATTGAGCTTTGAATGAAAGCTTTCGCATGCATTGGTTGTTCGTGTTATTGAAGACGAACATTCAGCCCATAATGACGGTGGATATCTCGAATCTTCCCTTACATACACTTCTAAAATATAGTCTGTAAATGCAGTCAATTTTGAATTATTAGGTGGAAGAAGAGCCATAATATCTGTGACAAAACAATCGTCAACTTCATCTGGTCGTAGAAACGGAAGTCCGAAAAAAAGTTTCAAATATTCGGACATTTCACCGGGTTTCATATATGGTTTTGCTAGACCTAATGACTGCATTTTGCGAAACCATTCTTGCCCTAGGTGAAAACGGCATGCTTTCAAATTTGTAGTAGGCCACACGTCTTTAATTGCTGTGTGAATAGCCTGTTCGAAGTCACTGAAAACTCTATTTGGGATATAGTCACATAAATGATTTTTGAGATGATTTAATACAGTCTTGTACGCATTATGACATTTACTAGGCAATAACGAAAAAAACAATGGTATATATGAGCTATTTTTAAATCCATGAATTACAAAAAATTGCTTAAAAGGAAAAGGACAACTTGAAAAAGTACCATCCATAAAAATTGAATCACATTGCTTAAGAAAATCAAGATTTATCTGAGTTGTAAAACACACTATATTGTTCTGAACATCATTTATAAAAATCCATTTTTCATTATTTTTCGTCAGTATTTTATTCATTACGTCAGGAAGCGTCGCATGCAATTGTGGAAAGTCACGTGGCAACTTCGGATAAATATTCATTCGTGCAGTATGTATATTTTTCCTAATCAAAGAAATATTATTTGAGTCGAGTACACTTAGTGCTGTACTTGACATCTCAGAATGAATAATTTTAGAAGGGCGCTCACTAAACTGCTCTACTGCCTTACGTTTAACACTGTTACTAACCTTTTGCCGTAATATTGATTGAAGATCATCTGGTTCATGATTATGTGTTGTATTTTGTTCACAAATAGTACCATTAACATCGTATTTTATAGCCGCATTACATGTTTTTTTACAACATACCCACCGTTGTACGTCATTCGCTAGTATACGATAGAATCGAAATTTATAATTATTAACGACCCGTAATGGTTTTAATTTTTCACTCAACATATTTTTCGAATTCATTTTTATGTTTTACCGTATCAAAAGACGTAGGCACAATGAAAGCAATATTCAAAACTATGATCGGAGTATACAATTTAATCTATTTTATTTATAAACTTTACAGATAAGTAGTGGTGTTCCCACATATATACGCTGTGTGCATTATATCAAAAAATATGTTTATCGTATAATATAAATTTCGCCTGGAATTGGAGTATAATAAAGCTTTGACCGCAACTAAGATATTACCTAAATTGGCGTGACCGCAACTGTTATATCCGTTTATCTCAAAAATCGTCATGACCGCAACTAGTATGCAGCCGTCATCATCGTTATTAATTTTACTCACATCATCATCATCATCGTCGTTATTTTTTTCAGAATTATCGATAATGTGGTTTAATGAATTTTTCACAAACGATTCTACATATTTTAATTTATTTTCGTTTTCCTTGATGATTTTCGACTCTTGTTGTTTCGTTTTATCAATAGCGTCGGCATCCGTTTCGTTTATTTCAATAATCGAATTATTATTTTCATCGTTATCATCGTTGTAATTGCTATAATTTTTAGAAGTTTCAACAATATCTAAATTGATATCGTCGTCATCTTGAATCAAATCATCATCATCATCATCCTCTTCTTCTTCTTCTTCTTCTTCTTCTTCTTCTTCTTCTTCTTCTTC